TACCGGACATAAAGCTTTCACTATAGGAAAAATAACCGCCAGTGTCAGTTTAGGAAAACAGCGTCGGAAATTTGAACTATTTGTCGTACAAGATGATTTTCCAATCGAATACGAGGGGATCTTAGGAATAGATTTCCTTCACGAACACCGCGCTAAATTTGACTATAAAACAAGAACAATGACGGTTTCCGGACAAAGTCTACCGCTGATACCACAGCAAATGTACAACCTCCCCGCGCGCAGTGAAGTAAGAATACGCGCCGCGGTGAACATAAATCGAGTGGGAGTAATCCCAGCTGAAGAAATTTCGCAGGGAATTTTTATTGGAAATTGCCTAGTAGAACTTGACAATTATATACGTCCTACAACAATAAATAATGCCACCGACAACCCTGTCGGGATAACCACACCTTACGTAAGGTTAGAGGACACTACGGCGGGCGACAATGAAATTGACAAAGCGCCTAAAGAAATCAAGAACATGGAGAAGCAGAAAGCGAATTCTCAGAAGGATAAGCTTAAATAGCAGAACAAGTCTCGAGAATCTGTTATCGGGACTCTGGACAAATCTAAGGATGAAACGGACAAGAAACAAACCAATTCAGGCGAAAAATCCAAGGAAGCCGGAAAATCTAAAATAGCGGCAAAAGCAAAAGAAAACACCCCAGTCATACAAAACATATTATCGAGCCAGGTTAAAGCGCCAAATCAAAGTACTCTTAAGGATAACATAAAAATTAAAGATGGTAACCATGACGAAAGAATTGAGCTCCAAAGGCAAAGAGAAAAACCAGAAAGGTAGTACCAAAAAGGAGCTGAAAGATCAACCTTATATTACCGACGATAGCCACGTTAATCATAACAAATCTGATACTAAGACTAAGCACAAGAACAAAGCGGGCAAGAATATGAAAGAAGGTAACGGAGAAAGCGCAGGGAGTAGAGTTCAGCAACAAACGAATATTCCGAGCGATGACACAAAAGAGAAAATAAATATCGTCGACGAAAGCAGCTCGATGGAATTTTCAAAATCATCGGACACTCAAAAGACTCCGTTGGAAAATATAATTGAGAGACCAAGCGTGACTACGAAAGCCGAAAACACGACAAGACAGAAAGACACGTCGAAGAAAGAACCATCATCGAAGAGCAAAACAAAGTCGAAGGAATTGAAGCTTGAAGTCGAGGGTAATAATAAAAATCGGGAGAAGTTGGAAAATAGTGTTAAAGAGATGCTCAAAAATAGTTCTCCCGAATCCAACAAATCGCTGGTTGATACTGAAGTCAAAGATCCGGAGCCAAAAGTGCTCGACAGCGCAAAAGTTGTTGAGGTAAACGGCAACGTGAAAGGTAAAGCTAATTCGCACAAAAAAGATAAAGCCTCAAAAGGTAAAATAGAAACAGAAGTCATTATCGATCTTACGTCATCGACAGTGCCAACAAGCGAAGTTTTAAATAAAACAAAAATTTTAACGTGTTCAGATAACACAGAGAAAGTGATTGTCCCGAAACTAGAGCAAATAACCGAAGAAATTTCGAGAATTATAGAGACGCCAACAACAGTTATTAAGGAAACCGATTTTAAAGAAGAGCCCAAGGAAATCGTCTTGTCGCCTAAAATAAATTGGCAAACTGAAGAAATAATACAAACTGATATCATACATAAGAATGATAAAATAGAGCGCTATGAAAGTGAAACTAAGGAGTCGATTGAAAACAAAAGAATAGAGTATCGTCAAACGGACGATAAATTAAAAATAGAAAGGGCAATGTCCCCAGAGAGTCCGGAGAAAATAGGTGAGAATAAAGCTTTCATTAGTGATACAAACGATGAAAAAACTGAGAAGCGAGAAACGGAGAAAGGTCAGACGAAAACAGGCAAACAGAAAAGATCCGATAAAACGAAGTCTAATACGCAAGATACAGATAAACTCAAGATAGACTCTTCATCTAAATCTCTAATCGAACCTATAGCGGAAACTTACGCCCAACCAGCAGAGGAAACACATTTCGCTAAAGAAAACGTGTCGGTAAGCGACAACAGCTATCTTACTCAGTCCAAATCGGATGCCAAAGGCACCGACGTTAAAACGTCTGTTAAAACAGACGAGAAAGGAATGACGGTGAATGTTCAAGATAATAAACGCGCGCCAGAGGCTACGTCAAAGAATAAGAAAAAAGGTAGGTTAAAGGATAAGTCGAAGGACGCTCAACAGGCACGTAATACGAAACGCAAGGAATTAAAATCAAAAGATGAAATCAACACAGGCTCATTAACACAACGAATTTCATAAATACAAACCTACCTCGTCAAAACACAAAAAATATGCGATACACAGCAAAAGATAGGCACAACGTGGCAAATGTGCACTAACTTATATTAGGTGAAGTAAAAAGTTCTGAGCGTTTTCCGCTAGATGTCTTTAGTGAGCCATATCTCACGATGTATACATCGCATCGGGTCATTCTATACGGCGATTTAAAGGTGACATTACGCTTCAAAACAAGTTCTGTGACAGTTTTGTGTTTGGTCAAGCCAGTTGTGTGTTACAGCGTTCCAAAATGGAGGTAAAAAAAGAGAAAATTCGATACATTCTTCAGTACCACTACGACCAAGGTGAAAAGGCGGAGCAGGCGGCCAAAAAAATTTGTGCTGTTTATGGACCCAATACAGTATCGAATGCAATAGCAAAGCGATGGTTTCAACGATTCCGTTCTGGTAATATGGACGTCGAAGATGAGGCACGCTCTGGTAGGCCAATCGTCGAAAATGTCGATAAAATCATGGAAATCGTCGAGTCGGACC